TTCACAGGATCAACCGTGTGGCACCCGAACTGCAGAGACAGCAGCAGAAACGAGGACAGTTACATGGTAAGATCTACTTAACTTAACATTCAACTTTATTTTTATGTGTGACACACAATTTAATATGTGTTAGAGGCAGTGTTGTGGCAAATGCAAATACAGATTTGTTTTGAGGCATGACATGATACAGTATCATATATATAATACTCAGCTCATAATATCAAAATCAGCGGTTAATATCCAGCTGGTGTAATTGCTGTTACAGGAAGTATGTGAGTGTGATATCTGCGTAAGTTGCTATCTTACAACTTGTAAAAGAGACATCCTTGTAAAAGAAATTAAAAATCTCAATGGTTTTCTTTCCTGGTAAAATAAAGTTAAAATAAAGGTTAAATAAAATAAAAAATTACCTGAACACTGTCATTTCACTACACGTTCTCTTCCTCCCCAGGTCCGCAGACCAAAAACACCTTGTCTTGATTTCTATTTCCCCCCACATGAACTGAAGGTTAATATTATGCGCGAGCCTGCTGTTTGCACTGATGGTGTCCTAAACTTAGAAGACTGTAATCTCACGTCTTGAGATTAACCGCACTCGCTTGTTTCACATGCAACATGGACACTTCACTCTCTCGGCATGCCAATCAGATCTTGAGTGATAATTCGAGGAAGCAAAAAGAAGACACTTTTGAGACATGGAATAAGATTCCTTCTTACAATGTTTGTTTTAAAGAATGGATAGGAACTTTTCATTTGTAGAACACATGTACAGCATATTTTATATGCAATTATAATTAAAGTTTATACATAACCTAAACAAGCTAACCGTTGACCATGCTGCATGCTTGGCTGTGTCATCCACTAGTACCTGCACAATTTAGTACACACAAATGTGTTCTTTCACTATTAAGTATTGATACAGCTTGATGTAAGCACTATGCAAAACAAAAGTCTGGCTGAAATCATTATTAGGTATAAATAAAGAGGTTTTCTAATTGAGCTAACTTCAATACCTAGTAATGCACACACACTGCATGATGCCAGGGCCATACTGCACTGCTCACTACTGCATTATGCCGAGGATCAAGTTGTCTGTGGTTGAAGAGACACCGACACAAAACAATGGAAGGTGCCTACCACCATCTGAGCTGAAGCAGAAAGAGATGTTTCCCATCATCCAATGAGTCCAACTAACACACCTTCTTTTTTTCCTCCTTAGCACACTAGATCCTCATCCGAAAGCTCCTGTTCCCGGCCAGGCTCATGCACTCCAGGGAGTCCTGGTCGAACTATCTGCGTAAGTTCTGGTGACACCATCTATTTAACATCTTCCATGGTGCACAATTCACAGTGGGTTGATTTACATTTCATTTATCCTTTATTTATACAGGGGAGTCGCATGGACAAAGTGTCTCTCATGCAAGATGTTTCTTTTTGCCAGTGAAGACAAACATTTAGGAAAAATAGCCAATGTGAAAAACATTAAAGAGTCTTAGAAATCAATAAAAAAAAAATTCCTATATGCGTTTTGTTTGTTTTTTTTACTTTATCTTGTCAAGATGAAACTGGATTCAATTTAAATTTCAGCTGTGGATAAATGATGAAGAGCCAGCACATTTTCTCAATTTAAATCAACAACATAATGAACAGGGATTTAGATAATCAATTTGAATGCATTGGCAATTCACATTATATTTGATTATAAAAACAACCCAGTGCTTTCAGTGTACTTTTGTTTCCTTCACCCAGTCCATTATAATCCATACCCTGTTGGTTTATTGTGTGGAATACACTTTACCCCCATCAAAACACCTCAAAATACAAAATAAAAACTATTTACCTTTTTTATACTTGAAAGCCTGAGAAATAAGTTTAATCTTATTAAGATTATGATGGTAATCTGTTCACTTCGTGTGCCAAAGTCACACCGTTGTGGTGATGTGGGATTAAAGTTTCATTCCTCCATGAAGTGATGTAATAAGCAACCTTATACCTTTCACCTGACCTAATCCATACTGTCTGCTCCCTCTATTTTCCATCCTCTGTATCCTCCCCTCTCCCCCTTGTCCTGGTCCCAGGCAAAAGTAGATAATGAGATCATTGACTACCGAGACTTAGCAGCAATTCCCAGAGTCAAGGCTATATATGAAATAGAGCACCCTGATATGATGTCTTATAAGTCTGTGAACGACAACTCAGCTGCTTTGGACAACAGGCAGAACAAGCAAATCCCTGCAGAGGTAACTTCAGTCAATGCTCCGGAGATGTTTTGTGTGTCATTGTTTTGGTGTTTTTTCTTCTTTTGTTGTTCTGATGTTTGAATGTGTTTGTCCCAAAATGCAAAGACATTTATTGTGAAAAATGGACAGATGTGTCTTTAAGTGTGTTTTGGAGAATGGTACATTAACAAAATACCATGAATATCTAAGGCAAGATCTATGCAGGTATTCAGGATATGTAATCTCTTGTTACATTTTGCATTTTTAAGAATTTGACTTATGCAACTCACAATACAATCAGAGAATGTTTGCTTGCATAATATAGAGTCAACTGCTAAAAATAACAAAACAGCGGTTAGTTGCTATTCACTGTGTTTGAGCAATTATTAATAATCTGTGCCAAGCTACTTGTAACTAACTTAGATTAAATAGCTAAAAGTACCTTCATAACCAATTCCTCTTGTTTCTTTCTTTACTTGAAAACCTAATAACTCTAAGTTTGGTGATTTTACAAATTCAGCTGAAGGATTACAGAGTTAAGAGTATTATAAATGCCTTCCTCTTATGAAGCATTTTAAAAGATGCATAGTGGTTAGGATAACATCAAGTCAAATAATGTCAGACAAGGTTTTTTCACCTGAAGTGACTACAGTGGATGTTGTGTTTCTTTCTGGTTAATACAACGATTTCCTTTTTCTGTCCTTCCAATTTAGTCACCAGGAAATGTATCTCAAACCACACAGGTAAATGTGTTGTTAACGTTACTTATTGTAATTAAGGTAGAAAAGCCTGTGACATCAGGTCACATACAATATGTACCAGACCCTTATTAAAATCATACATATTTAACACTCATAGACACAAATAAGTTTTTACTTGTTGTCCATTTTACACAGTTTTATTGTCTTTCTTTTTTAAAGGAGAGTTTTGAAGTGAGGATGCGCACACCAACATCTACAAGCTACGGATCTACAGGGGTTAATGCAACGTTAAATCGTCATAGCTACACTCCAACTCTGTCCAGATCACCACAACACTTCCACCGGCCAGGTGAGAGGAGCACTCATAAGTAATTAAGTCTTCTTATCACCTTTGTAAAGATATCCACCCCCCTCTGCTCACCTTTTCTCTGTTTTACCGCTTTCCCTTATCTCCTCTGCCTCCACAACTCGTCCTCCTCCTTCCAATTCTTTCACGGAATAACAAGCAGGATTGAAGCTTACTCCCTCTTTAGTCTCTGGCAACACTGACACCACTTCCCCTTTATGTTACCACTTTCTCCCTCACACCAAAGGTAAGAAACCCTTCTCTGCTACCCTATTCAGCCTTCCCTTGCCTTCCCTTTTGTTATCTATTCCATTTCCTTTTAAACACTTATATTTATTAGCAAACCCAACACTGTTGTGCAATGGTGCAAAAAGAATTTCCCACATAACTAACGTCCGAGTAGGAATTTATACATAACCTAAACAAGCTACCCGTTGACCATGCTGCATGCTTGGCTGTGTCATCCACTAGTACCTGCACAATTTAGTACAAACAAATGTGTTCTTTCACTATTAAGTATTGATACAGCTTGATGTAAGCACTATGCAAAACAAAAGTCTGGCTGAAATCATTATTAGGTATAAATAAAAAGGTTTTCTCCGAGTAGGAATTTATAAGCAGGAGATGCAATTCACTTTATTCTTAGAAACACTGAGCCTTCTAGTAGTCAAAGTTCAGAGAGACTGTCAGTCGCCCACTCAGACTCTTCTCGAATCACAGTTTCTTCCTTCAGATAAGCCATTGATCTTTTCTTTTCTTTTCCCATTTTGCATATTTTACCTGACTCTTCTTCTGCTGCCTCATCCAACACTCACTAAATTCTTTCACTTGAAAAAATTTAATCCTTGATGTAAATCTTTATCAAAGTAGGTATTTATAAAACTGGTTTGATTGATTAAATAAATAAATATTCCTGTGCCTGTCCTCCAGCTTCACTCACACATTCCTCTACAGCCTATTTATAGCCATGCTATATTTTTAAAAAGCCTGTTTTATAGTGTGTGTATGAGATATGACATGCTTTTGACTGGTAATCACTGGCAGGTGTTTTTGGTTGCAACTGAAAATCACTCACACCCCACTAACAACCAGCTCAGCCATGATTTCACAGTAGTGAGCAGTATGTTACTTTATAAAATTTTAATGAATTGATCTATGATCAATTGATTTGAAACATTAGATTCTTAAAATTATAATTTCTGAAACTCCTCAATAACATGAAATTAAATAGTATATAAGAAAGCGCTTCCTACACTCTGCTTTTCTGTAACTGTAAATGTAAATGTGAGCTCTTTATGGCATCAACATTTTGCATTGCTATCCAGTTTTTTTTAGTGCTCCAGTACAATGTGACATGAAGTTCACAATTATTGTATGTGTGTTAAACCTTTACTTCACTTTGTGGTTTAAGTGTACTTAACATTAAATCCATTTTTTCAGTAAGTAAACTATATGTACTGATGCTGTATTATACTATAAATTCATTCTGGTTCCTTCTTTTCAGAGAAAATTGAGTAATTCTGTCTTTTAAAGCAAAAAGAAAAAGGTGAAAAATGCCATCAAATTATTATGCATTGTTTAAAAAAAAAATCTAATCCAGGGTGTTAAGTTAATTATATGAATATTTTAAAACACTGAAAAGGATAGAGATTTGGCAACTAGTTGCCACAGAAAAGCTACAGTAGGTTATTACTAACAATAATATTATTTTGGTCCTGCTGAGTAATATTTCAGAGTGAATAATCTGCTTATGCTGCATTCTTTTCTACCTGCAGATGAAGGCTTCAACATGTACAGGAGGCCTCCAATTTATAAACAGCAAGGTACAATATGAATTTTTCATATTTCAAGTCACCTTTCACAAAGTGCATATTAATGTTGCTTGAAGCAGTTAAATATTACTTACTATTCTTTTTATTTATATACATGCATCTAATGTTAGTTTTTAACTGAAGTGTGTATATGTCACTGTATATATCATAGTGACACATAGTCATAATTATTATTAATTATGATTAATTATGACTATGTATGTAGATGTATTAAAAAGAAACTGATGTAAGGGTCTTAGAGTGTTCAGTCAAAGACTGTAATATAAGTCAGTATACAAGGTATTTACTGAAAGTTAAAGGTTGGAAAGTAAACTGGTTTAACCTTAAATGGAAAATGGAAATAATAATAATAATAATTTTTATTAATAATAATAAAAATAGAGCAGTACTGAGGAGTCAGCAAAAGGCTAAGTAAAGAAACAAAGTATATTTTACACCATAAGTCTTATCTTATTTGGGCAAAGACTGTAAGTCGCCTCATGATGAGTTAATCTATCTGCTGTTTCACTTTCAAACAGATCCAAATTCCTCCACATCCCAAACATCCTCTTTGCCTGGATATGGTCGCAATGGCCTCAATCCGGTAAGAGCAACATGACTGATACCTAATTATCTCCTTAGCATTATTGTATAATACTAATGCCTTACATTCCTTTGATTCAGTATGCTGAATTTAGTGCAACTATACATCATTTTGAAGTTGAACTTAATGAAAAACAGTTCAGCAAGCTTCCCAGATTGGTTATATTTCACTTGGATTATGACACAATTCCACACTGCAAAACAGTGACAAGAGAGTGACATGTTTTTTACTGTTTTATGTTTTGTACTGGGTAGCTCTAAAGACACATTGAAGAAACTATGGTTGAGGTTTATCCAACTTACCACCCTTAATCAATAGAGTGAATGACCCTGAACTATGCAGATATTTGAGTTGCTGTGTCTAGAGTGTTTGGTATTGATTGTGGGAAAACTGATTAAATACAATCAATGTATTAATGTGTTTTCTTCTCATTAAGCCACGGTCAGCTGATTTCTCCCATTACAATGGTGAAAGATTCAGAGGTAAGTATGTAAACATCTTTATTATCTATCATAGAAATAACTACAAAATTAACTCAATGGATAATTCTTTAGAAATTAATTTGTTTTGCTTACCTTTCAGACATTAAGGTATGTGAGAAGAACTGAATGGAGCTCTATGTGATCTTTAATCCCTGGTCAGGCTCCATTTCCCTGTTTGGTTTACTACACTTCCAAAAGATTGACCACAAACTCACCGTCTGCATGAGCATGTTTGAAGTATACGTCACACAGAGCTCTTCATTAATATATACAAGCTGAAATGTTATTAGCTTTGGAGTGACTAATCCCTCCATGAAATGTTGCATATGTTTGCTTCATTCTGTAGCTAATCCATGACGGTCAACATCCATTAGCACGAATGGACAGAAGAGCGTCTATGCCTAATTTTTTGGAACCAAAAGCAAGTATTATTTGTATATTCTTCTGCACCTATACGCACCACCAGGAATAGCAACAACTCATACAAATAAGTACAATCCATTGGAGTTTAGGACAGACTTCAAACACAATCTTGCTAGTTTAATAGCTGACAGTGCTGAGGCTTTAATGGACAACTTCATTATCATCCTCCCTTTATAACAGTATATGCGGAAATACACTTATTCTTTTGAAAAGGCCAAAAGAAGCAGGGTCTTCACAGTGTTTCTTCCTCTGAAGGCTGAAGCACTGGCATTACAGCTATCCATGATAACTGTGCAGAGGTTTTACAAGATGCATGCACGGTACACAATGTTCTAACTCCATCTTGTATCTCAATAACTCATAGCGCAAGGGTAGCAAAGATTGTGTTTAGGTGTAGCATGTATGATTCTCAACCAGTCTGTTGTTATGTCAAGGTCTATCCCTATGACATGCTCAAGGTTGCTACTAGAGGACGAGTGAAGCTTCCCAAGGATGTTGACAGAACAAGACTCGAGGTGAGAAAAGCGTTATTACAATGTGACACTTGTTCTTCTGCATGACTAAACAGACTGCTTTGCAATATTTCTGTCTGTAGTTGAAAACCAGCAATGAAAAGGAAACCCTTCATTGCACTCTGACGCTTGCCAAAAGGGCACAGGTTACACCATGTTTTAAATATTTGCCATATTATTTTTTAAATAAATGCTAGATCCTGTGTAAAATACCACACATACCACTAAACCACGACAAAAACATACTTGTAGCAGGATGTTGATAAATTCCTTGACACTGTTGCTGCTGAAGGGCTTTCCTTACAGTATGAGTTTTATTTTAGAATTAGAAATGCACCAGATGAACTGTGCAGCTTTGCCCGCAGTCACTTTATTCTTTCCTGCTTTCCTTTGCAGCGTCACTTATCCCCGGATTCATTCTTTGAGATCTTTGGCATGGACATTCAAGAATTTGACACACTTCCACTATGGAAGCGTAATGACATGAAGAAGAAGGCAAATCTCTTCTAAATGTTGCCTGATGCATGTTTTGACTCATTGTTAATATGCAGTGTATGTCCAGTTATGATGACCCTATATGTAAAAAAATTTTTCCTAAGACCTAGATAAATGACGTGTTTGAGGACATAATACCTTGTTTCCCCTGGTTTCTTTAGGCTATTGTAACGAATCATGTGATTAATACCTCAAAACAGATATGAACATACGAACTCTCATAGTCTTGGCTTTGGTAATAGCCATTATTAACTTTCCTAAATCAGCCCTGTCTTCCCTGGGTCACATTCATATTGGGTGATTCCACTGTGAAAAGTGGGAAGCATAGAGAAAGTAACTTCTTCTTTGATGCTATAGACCAGAAACCCTATCACTTAGAAATGCTTGTGCAAATCATCGAATCACGATCAGTGACAATATTCATGAGGAGAACTAATTCTTTTTTTCCAGTTATTTATTCCTAAAATATCTGCACATGGCAAACAAGATGGATACATTTAGGCATCCAAAACACCTTAGGGATACAGTTTAAGGTCGAATGACAAGAATGTATCAACATGTAGTTAATGCATGAGAAAATGTTAGAGCAGACTCTTAGGCCAAACAGCTAAAGCCTCACTAACAACATCTCATTAGTGTATGTTTCTACTTGCCTTCTGAAACTGAAGAATTATCGACTTTAGAACATACAGTTTAAGAGTGGTTAAGGTCAAAGACACTCTAATTGTAATTAAAAGCCTTTGTAGAGCATTATTATTGCCCTTTCTGAATAATACCTCATATGATACCTGATCCCTTGACCCTGTACACAGGATAAGCGGTTGACAATGGATGGATGGATGGATGGATGGATGGATGGATGGATGGATGATACCTGATGTATGGTGGAGTGTTTGGTTACATAACCTTCATCAACATGTAATTCTGATACAATATATTGACTTATTCCCTCAAGAACTGGATGCATTTCACCCATGTTTTCATTGCTACTACTATATGATTTTATATTTTTGTTACTCAGTTGATACTCACTTTGCTGTCTCCTGGTTACACAAATGTTTAAGCACAAAACTGAAAAGAGTTACTAAATTGTCACTGAAATGAATTAAGATGACTTGACACTGACTTAGATGTGATAAACATCAATGTGTATGTTACCGTGAATTGGCTGTCCCAGCACACCACCTCAAACACCCTGAATAAAATCATTCATACAAGTTGAGTAAATTGATTTCTTTTTATTGATGGAATAAATGAGGTTGTGTATGTTCAATGAGGTATCTATTTTGAGGCTATGTTTTTCTGAACAATTTCAATTTCAGTCTTTCCTCCTCCCAGGATAATCTTACAGTACAGTCATTGAGTTGGAAAATTTTAAACTGAAGCTGCATTCTTGATTTGGTTTTTTAAACTCTGCAGAGATCCCTTCATTAGTGCTACTCTTTCTTTACAATGTGCATTTCTTTAGCATGCACATTTCAGTCAGAATTGGTAATGAATACATTGTTAGAAATATCATCTTGACCATGAAGTAGCTGAATTTTTAATTACTGCCTGACTTTCCTGTCAAAATCAAGAGTCGGTAGTTAGCTACAGTAGTAGCTATTCCATGACTTTTAATAACACCTTGCTAAATTTCCATGTCTGTGTTTTAGCAGTGTAATAAAATAAGCTACCTGCTGTTGTAAAATAAATGTAGTAATTACATTTTATAACGTGAATCTATGCGTTAAATTTTGACAACAGACAATAGGTGGCGTACTAGTACACTGCAAGCAGGACAACATTTTCATTACATCACAACATTATGCAACATTTCATATTTTCACTCATAAAACCAGCTGCATGGTGGAAGAATTGCAAAATCCCTTGCTATCCATGACTCATACATTCCCATTTGATTTGGCTCTCACCTTAACATACTTGTACAACATGTTTTTGTCTTTTTCCATCTCTAAACTGTCTAAACAAGGGGTTAAACTTGACCCAATCTTGGAACCAGCCATTGGAAATTTAAGACCAACAGATGGTGCTCTGGAGCCTGGAATCAAAACACCACTTCAGGATTGCTTTCCATGTTTAAAATTACATTTGCCAGACTTAAAGGTTGTTTGAGACATTATTGTTCTTTACTTGTATCAAAATGGTGTGCAGTAGTAGTGTAAAAATGACCTCCATCACAGTCCCTTGCTTTGTAGACAGCTAGGATAGTGTAGTGAGTATGATGTTACAGTATCTTTTTGTGTCATGTTATGTTGAATACAAACGTAACATTTGAGAGATAAAATGAAACTGCTACTACTTGCAACTATTTGCATTTTATGTTTTTAGACATTTGCATGCACACACTCCATAAAATCTCAAATAATCAAGGGTACAATTACCAATTAAAGCCACTATTTGGTTGTGTCATGTTCATCTGAGGTAACCCTTTATAGCAATGTTGTATGTTTTTCAATATTGGATAAAAGGAAGGAATTAGAAATGTTTTTACACAGAGTTATCTTATTTGCTTCCCTGTCATGTTGTTGTGGACTTTAAAGATTAGCACACCACACACCAAAAACAAAAACATCAGCTAAAGAAATAACCTCCACTAACAACGAGGGTAACCTGAATAAATGTAGCCCACTCTCTGTCTTTTTAGTTTGGAAAAATATTAGCTCAGGCTAACATTAATAACACTACAGCTCCACATAGAAGTTAGTTTTTGTTATCATGGGCTCTTTAAAGCCCACCTAGCTTGAGCAAAAGTATTGGGAGATGTTTTAGGCTTTCTATTGGACACAGCCTCGGTTGTGGGCGTGCTGTTGAATGTAATTGGCCGAGCTTGCTGTCACTCGCCACTCCACTCTCTGCTGAGTGCCTCCCCCGTCTCTCCACAGACTGTGCGGCCCAAGCGAGGATTTTCACGAAAACATCCACCGCAGACTGCGTACCAGTGGCAACGGGAAGGCAGCTACGACGAACTGGACCCGAGGCGATGGATCCAGCGGCGTGACAGCCGAGCCGATGGCGTTTGTAAAGTTGGATAACCGTGTTTGGCCTTGAAGAGAGACGTTTGAAGCGTGAAACTGATTTGACGGAAATTAATACGGTGTCACTTGTTAGACAGAAAGACGGAGTGAGAGGGGCCAAAGTGGACTCCCTCCCTCGGTAGAGCTCGTTCCGCCCGATGGAGGCTGACGGGACCTTTGCAGCGAACTCGAGGCCTGGAATGTCACCTGTGAAACGTCGACATCTCGTTGGAGGACTTAATTAAGGCGAAGGACCGCGCACACCTGTCTGCGCTTTCGACGATTCATTTGACAACTTCTTAAAAAGCCTGTATACAATAACAAAAGTTAGCAGGTCAGCGTTAGCTGCGGGAGGCGACCCCTCGCGCAAGATGACTATCATAGATATCACTTAACGAGAGGTTATTTACTGCCTCAGGTAAAATAGGACAGGTGAACAGCGCACCATTATATTTTTAATGGACTTCTTTCTTTTGCTAGGTTTGTTCTAGTAAGTTGTGTATCCCCCCCCCCCCCCCCCCCCCCCCCGCAAGTTGACTGCAACCCTTTCGGCTGCGAGAATTGAGCAGTTTTTGTTGTTGAAACAAGGCTTTCTTGGATTTTTTTCTCATCAAGTGTCGCCTTTCCCCCCCTCCACTAACCATGTCATTCAAAGACAATCCTTGTCGGAAATTTCAAGCCAACATTTTCAACAAAAGTAAATGCCAGAACTGCTTTAAGCCCAGAGAATCACATTTGCTGAACGACGAGGACTTAAATCAGGTGAACAAATACTTCTTTACACATTGGATCTGTCATACTTCTGATACTGCCTATGTAGTCTATATTAATGTAAAAGCAAAGCATGTTTTTATCTGTCTGTTTGATGTGCACATGTCAAACGGCTCGTCGTGTGTCAATAGACCATGAAGTGCAAAGGTTAGGCTAATTGGACATAATTATTTTCCAGCCCAAGGGCGCTATTGACCTTAATTCATGCAGCTATATAGGCCTCCACCCAGCTCCATGCCTCCCAGCACAGTAGCCTACTACCAACTGCTTTTGTTGAATAATTTTGGTTACATTTGTTTCTGTGAAATCTTTTTCAGTATTTGCTATAATAATATAAAATAATTTTTTTTTGCCCATTTTACCCACACTGCTGTCAATTTTATGCACAAATTAACAAACAGTCACTCCTAAAGGCATTAAGGATGGGCGACTGTGAGGCTGTCAAAATCCCATTGCTGTTTTCCAATAATACTGGTATCTAAATCACAAATGGGGAGATTCCACTAACACTCCCCTGCTGGGCTGTGTTGTTGATGTTGGCAGGTTGTGAATGGTGGCATCAGGTCTCACTGAACTCTGTTGGCCTGTATTGTGATCATTCCTTTTGGTAAGCTGTTTAACAGGTTAAGAGTCACCCATCTCCAGATACACAGTTTATATAAATGCCGCTTCTGTGATAGACAGTGATGTGTCTTCTGATGGCAATGTCTTCAAAATGGCTGGCTGTGGACTAACATTAGGCCAACATATTTTCCTGTAATCCCTCCATCATGTCCAATGGCTTCTCTGTTGGAATGGAAATAGTCTTGAGGTTGTCAGCGGAATTTCTCGCCCACTGGCTATCAACGTTATCCTTTGATGGCTGCACCCAGGGAAAGGTTATCATCTGCTGTCAGAGCCTGAAGACCCGGGACAGGCCGGCGATGTTGTTAATTGTTTAAAAGTCCTACTACAAGAAGATACGGAAAGTCTGTCAATCCCATTCTGTGCATATTTTCATCCAGAGCTTTTGTCCTTTTGCCCCTCCACCAACTCACCACTCAAAGGCCAATGCTGTTGGTGCAGTATTACGTAGTCATTTATGATGGAGGGAAATAAGAGGTTGGGGGTCGTTGTGAAATGAATGCACTCAAATGACTGCGTTTAACCACTGAAGAGTAAAAAAAAAAATGACCTAGATTCATCTTGTCTACTTCTCTCTTTATGAAGGACTAACCATTCAGGCGGCTGTCAGGTCATGTGAGGCGAGATGGGACATTTTTCTAAAACCATGTTCAGTCTCTGTTCCTTTTTCACAGGCAAGAAGGACGCTAGTGTTCCGGGATTAGTGTGATTCCCTCTCAACACGTACTGTACTGCCCTTTCCAGCAGTCCCATTATCAAATAACTTATCTACGTGCTGTTCCTGTGTGCTGCTGTCACCTCTCAGGATGTCTTTAAAAAGTTGGATGCTGTTTCTCTTTAAAGTCTGCTCAAACGTTTGACTGTCCAAGGGTACGATTACGGACTTAAGTCTGAAAATTCTCGTTATGTAATTTTGTTTACAGTCACTCGGCTGAGAAATTTGATGTTTCTCCTGTAATCAAAGTGAAAGAGGTTTTATGGCGGATTATACTTGGCTTTACATGGGATGACGTTATGACTGTAATCAAAACCACTGAAATAGGGACATAGAGGTGCCAGGCGACTGTAAATGTCAGAGCTTTTTGACTTGATTTGTAGGCTACTGTTCCATAGACTTGGGAGCGGAGTTGATTTACGTAAGGTATTTTAATTAGTTAAGCTCTTTAGGTGTAGGTAAGATTTCAATGTTAACATTTAGTAAAATTTGTGCTCTTGTACAGACAACGCTGCAGTGGTTATGCAGGGTTTCTTTTTTGGCTCAGCAAACAAATGCTGACTTCGAGTATGGCTGGAGTTCAAGTTTGTACCAGAACTATTTAAGAAAGACTGCATTTCTCAGTACAAGTTTGAATTGCAAATCTGTAGCCACAAAAGCTCTCAGGCCCTGTACTACCACTCACTCACTCACACACTCACTCACTCACTCACACACTCATGTTTCTCATCCACTGTTTTTCTTGCTAACTTCTGCCTCTTGCTAACCCCTCGACCCACCACGTCCACCCACTTAAAGGATCAGAAGGAAAATCATGTGTGTTAGCCTTTCCTTGTTTTTCCCCAGGACAGCATGGTGCTCTGGGATACAGCCAGCTGAAGAGTGTAGCCTGCAATAAACTAGGCAACTTGTGACTAATAGACACCTTCTTGGAGTTAAACTAAGATGTGTGTGTGTGTGTGTGTGTGTGTGTGTGTCTGTGTTATCCTGTCTGATATTGGGTCACAATTTGTAGCCTAAACTAGGGAATAGCCTCCAGTTATATCTACAGTGAATTAAAATGTGCATAATTGTCCTGTTTACCGATGTGTTCATCTGCATGTTTTAGTGTTTGCTTTCAACACTGTAATTGTGTGTTCTCCTAACCAGGCAAAACCTATATATGGAGGATGGTTGCTGCTGGCACCAGAGGGAACACATTTTGACAATCCCTTACACAGATCTCGGGTAAGTGGTTCTTTTGCTGGACATTTCTGGGGCAGAGTTTTGTCTCTTCTTTTGGTGGAGCTTCATGAAAACAAACTGGTATTCTTTAAAGGGATCAGCTTCATTTCACCCATTATCTGTAGATTCTGCTCATGCCAAAAGTTTATAGGTACAGTACTTTTTTATTTAAAACAGCTTTGAGTATGATATGTGTAAAGTTTAGTTTATTAGGACACCTCCAATGGTGCCAGGTGAGTTGAAAAAGGAAATTTGCTTTGCTCCTCCTTTAATTTTGTTATCGATTCTGGCATTAATTTCACTTTAGACAAACAGGAGGTTTGGTTATTATGGCTCATGTCGCTGTTTCATGGATTCAGCAGCTTTCTGTGGGAGGCTTGGCCCTCTTATCAGAATAAGCTTCATTCTCAGGCAATAATGAGCCAAATATTGACTTAATTTCATGATTCCTGCTTCCCTAGCATCATGTAATGGGAGCCTTGCTCTGTTGCACCGCTATCTTTATCAGCTCCCAGATTATACGGCGGTGGTGCATCCGAAAGAGGAGTAAGGGAGAATGTGGGGGAGGAGAAGGAAAAGTCCCAGTTCTCACAGCCACACTGATGGCTTCCATATGGGTTTTTGGAAAAGCACCTCTGGATCCTTCAACTCAAGTATAGTCAACAGTCTGCTGCTGCTTTGACATAATCACTGACATGTTCCACCTATTCCCACAAACAGCTTTATACTGTGGAGGTATAATTGGTGGCCTGTACATAGTGCTGAGGTGAGCAGGTTGGTCAGGTTTTGACTGACCAACAAGCAAATAACATAGAAAAGGAACTGACATGATGGTTGAGTCATGTTTTAGGACCACTTTAGTGTGACAGGTTGTGAGTCTATGGCTCTGTTCTGTCCATGAATTACACTGCAGAATTTTTCTGGAAGCCATGTATTTATCACATTTTTAATGGATGTGACTCCAAGGTCTCTTTAACATCGCCCGTGAAGCTTATCGGCACCTCTGTCGTGACCTTCCAATGGCTTTTAGGTTACAAAGCACCTCTCAATATTTCATGGATTGGGCTCTTGGAATCTGAGCCCAGGATATTTAACACTGAAACAAAACGGTGCATTAGGATAAGAGCGGGGTAGTGGAGAGCTCATCAAGTCAGTGAGGAAGGAGATCAATGGAAACTGTCACCATATCATTTGCCCAAATATCGGCAGAAATACTATTCTAACCAAGAGATAAAATGACTCCATTGTATGTCAGATTTTACCTTGTGGTTTCAGAAACGTGATAGGCTTCATCTGCAGTATTCTAGAGGGCATTTACATTGTGCACCGAATGTGTTTTGGGCAAACACATTGTCTGTCAATTCAAGGTTGTGTGCATATAACATGTATATCCTGTAAGACAGATCTGGGCATGGTTAATGTTATGTGTAATTATCTTACGTGTAATATTGTGTATTGCTGTGAAAGTGTTTTTCCTTTGCAGTTTTTGTTGTCATTCAACTGGGGCATTCAGTCTATTGTGCTGTTGTGCCTCATACTTTTATGGAGAAAAACAAACAGAAAACTGGATAATTGACTTTTGAACTGAAGCATGACTATAAAATGTTTTCCAGCTAACTTGAACACCTTGTGATGTGGTACATGTCCTGAAAGTGTGCCAAGAACTGGCTTGCCATTGCAAGGTGTATTTACTGTTTGTATATGTGTAGTAGCAAAGTCTTGAGACTCTGAGGTGTATATTATGTAAGATTCAAGATTTTAACTGGAACATTTACTGATTCATTTATAGGTCCAATAAATATATCTGGCTTTAAAAATAAATATCTGTCAGTATTTGTTAAACAGCCATGACAGTTTTCCAAACCCTTGCTAAATATTTTCACATGTTGCTTCACCCTTTATAAAATGCTGATGTGATTTACTGCTGGGAATGATAATGGTATTTTTCATGTGACCATGTCAGTAACAGTTTCTCATTTCTTTAAATGCAGAAATGGCAACGGAGGTTCTTCATCCTGTACGAGCATGGCTTACTTCGCTATGCTCTGGACGAAATGGTGAGTGAAAGTTGTGCTATGATGGCTTGGGTGGTAAATTCAGCATCCTTATTTGGCACATTGGGGCGACATAATCATGCCTTCCTCCCCACTTGTCATTCTCTAAATCTAAGCTCGATTTCCCCAGTGTTTTTTCCTTTTCTGTGTTAACCTGCTGTTAAGGAAACTCAGCACAATATCTATCAGTGAAAGGGAAGTGATTAAGCCCCTTTTCAACTCCAGGAAGTGTTTTAATGTGAAACTGCTGGAGGAACGGTTGAGTTTGCTTTTTCAGCATACAGCAGCAACAACAAGTCACAAACAGGAACAGCTCACAGAACAAGGTGGCGTATGACTGAAAAGGTGAAATTTGGTTGTTTTAAGAATTGCTTCCTTTTCAGTTGCGTTAAATAAAGCCCCTGAGCACTATTTGATAATTTACTGGAGGTTTCATTATTGTTTGATACATCCCATGAAAGTTAAGTCATTTTAACTCTAGTGGAGAGGCTGATTTTACACTTTTATATTTCTGTTTATAAAAGTGTTGGTCACAGTTTTCTTAAGAGGCTGTTGCATTATAAAAATGGAGAAGAAATAATTTACAGACTTGTTGACGTTGAAGTGTAGTTACTTTGTTAGTAACATTTTGGTGCTGTGATGGGTTCGCTACCATTTCACCAGGCAGTTGCACACTGTTAACGCCTATGCTCTCCTGCATACAACAGAGTATTTTGTGAATGTGTTAAACACTAAGCTAACTAGCACAGTGGTGTCAAACGGAGTGATGTGACACCACATGTTGTTGATACTAAAGTCACATGCCAAGGTGTGTGTGCGTGTGTGTGTTTAAGTGGCTAACATGCTTGAGGAACTTCCTGTTCTGAAAGAAAAACTGGAAAAACTACTCACTAGGAAGACTTTTTCTTTTGTGATCTGTATTAGTGCCAGTAATGAAATGATCTATACAGTAACTATCTAATTAATATGTAGGCTGACTGTTTCAAATTCATATTTTTTGTTGTTTTTCATGTTTGAATACTATAAGTTTGGCAGGTCGGTTATTACTGTATTGTACTTCAGCATGTGGGCTCGCTAAATATTGATTGACCCAAAACAGTGCTCAACAGTTTTTTTTGTTTGTTTTTTTCTTTTCTAAACGTGGGATGTGCTTTGAAATGAGGTGAAAGCAGAAGTGGTCGAAACAGCACTTGCTTTGTTGCTTTTGACCCGTTCATGCTGTATGTGGCATTCTTTGGCAGAGGAGAGGGATGCTGAGAGGTTTTATGTAATAGATACATTCCCCTTTCATTCCCCCTATAGAAATATTCTACATGTTGAATGGCAAGGCTACTATTTGCATATTACATGCAAGAGCAGAGTATTTTTTATTTTCCTAAACATGGCATACTGTACTGGCCTTAATGTCTTTTTCAAAATGGAGCCAATAAATTGTATTTGTCAGGCACTGGTGGTGAACGATGACACCAGAAGAAGGATGGATGATGTGTTTACTGGAAGAAACAAAGGAGAGCGGCGGATGTCCTCCTTCCATTCATTGTTCTCTCTGGATGTCACTCTACATCTTTTCATGTCCTTTCTGGATGCAGGATCAAAAGGAGAGGGGAGGGGGGAGTGAGGGTCTGGAGATGTAAATATCAAGTGACAATAAATATAAGATGGCACTTGTCACACAAAACTCATTAGAATAATTGTTTTGTGTTGAATACACAGCTGCACAAACTTGGCTAATTGGCATATCTGGCACTCGTTTTTTGTGGACAAAGAGGTAAAATTAATATTTGGACTCTTCAGGTAAGGTTAGAATCTGTGAGTGGCATTATATGATTTCATAAATTTAAGTTGATGTCCTTTTCACTTTCATAGACAGTATAGGTAATGATTTAAAATGCGTTTAGTGCCAAAACATTATGTTAAGCTACTAATAAATATTAATAACACGAGAGTAATTTTGGTTTGATTTTATTTTATACCAATAATCAAAGCCAAGTGGTTGGTTTAGTAGATGTTATTGTTTTGCCTTTTTATAAAGTGATCTCAGCCTCGCCATTATTGCAACATTTCTAATTTGTGCAGTGATGCCAAAATTATAATCCAAACTTTATTGCACCACTGACGTTGGATTGCCCGTGCTGTATGCTGGTATGGTTTTGAAATATGACGCACTGCTATGTATTATGCAGTAGTGTGCAGTTTAAATGTCCACTGCAAAATGCTTCAGATGGCTACAATCAACATTAAATACAAGATAGAAACTGACATTAAGATCAGTTTAAATGCTGTATTTTGAATGACATCAGGTCAAATCTAAAGACTGTCAGCTTTCTCCAGTATAACGTTGCTCCAGACCACATCAGAGCCCCCCATCTGAGAGCCCTGGTTGGGGTTGTATATGAGGAGGTGCCCCTCTGTTTTTCTCTCGGCCTGGTTTTATGGCTCTTGTGTCTTGGATCTAACCAAACCCAGATGGGCTGTGGTCCCAACCTTCAGGATGTGGCATGAATCTGGGGGAAAGGAATGGGTTAGCTAAGGCTTGGGACAGCCATCGTTTTGGGGTTGCCCACCTACGGTGAACGCCCAACACTACACACCATACCATGATTTTATGCTAAGAGCTGTGGGTGGCTGTGAAGAACCGTTAAGTGCAAGAGAGAAGTGGTAAAGAAAATGTAGCCGCAGTAAGAGCAAGATGAAAAGACGATGTGTTCTGATTGGAAAGACGGAGAGGGTGAATTGCTGCATGTTCTATGGCCTGCATAGAACATGTCCTGCCATGCAACGCTAATGTGTTAGTGCAGCTTTAGAGGATTGTTCTTGGCCTGGGCCCCCAAAGAAGGGAGTTATTAAGTGTTTTGTGTCTAAGCTAGTTCACTGAATTTTAGCACTATACATTATATTAGCTGTAAATTAGATACATTTACCCACAAAGTCAAACTCACTGTCAATTCAGTCTTTACGTTTACGTTTGCTGAATGCACACGATAGATTTTCCCAGAAAAACCCGGCACAATTGTTTCATGGGAGCATTACCAAGACAACATGTTTTGTCCCTTTGTCCAGCAACACTTGCCCATGGTATGTGCAACATGGAACAGTTATTCTCTGTTTTGTGGAGAGCTTTGGCTGTCTCTGCCCAGACTGTATAGATTTAGGACAGAACACTCTGGAAGCAAAGCACGAGTGTGTGTGGGCTGAAGCTGTCTGTAGGCTCAGTCATATGGTGAGCAAGCCTTTCTACAGTAGCTGTAGAAAAAAACATCGGACACAGCATCGAAACAAATGTGTGAGGCTGGATTAGACAGAGTTAAAGGTTGTGCTGATCTGCACATGTTTGTCCATGTGCGAGTGTTGGTGTGTGCGCAAGTGTGTGAGTGAGCATGTGAGTGAACGCACCTGGGGCCGAGGGTGCTTGACCGCAGAGGCCATGTCAGGAACAGGTGTTGCAAGGTTTGAGAAGTTTTGCTGACTTCAGCAGTCCTGAGAGAAAGTGGCCTTCTAATCATTTAGAGGTAAAGAAAAGACAAATGAACAGGGGCCACCCATACACAACTGTGTGATTAAGCTGTTCAAGTTGTTTAAGTGACTCGAATCACACGTAGACACACAAAATCCATTATCACCTCGTGGTGAGGGCAGGTATGTGGGTGTGAAGAACTCTCCAGCTACACAAAGCCACTTTGATGACATCATTGCGAGGTAAAATGATCAACACCCACACTATAATAATTGCTTCGCTATGCTGTCCTAAATACCCCACACAGCACCTAGCTCCCATTGACCTTGCGTTGACCTATTTGTAACCTACTCTTTCTGACACACACACACACACACACACACACACACACACACACACACACACACACACACACACACACACACACACACACACACACACACACACCAAATCATATGATGTAGGTTGAATTGTATTTCTTTGCAGTGTCTCAATCTCTGTTGTGGTCTATGAGCTCACACTGAATCACAGCCTAAATTGGTTTTAAAAGAAGGCTTTTGCATTGAAAGTCTTTAATCACTGTTGACGGTGGTTTATGTACAATATTTCCTCCGTTTATTTGGAGGCCATTGCAGGTACTTGGAAAACACAGTCCACTTTGTGTTCTCATTCTTGTCAGTTCATCTGTTTTATTCCACATTGAACAAGCACAGTATACCTGCAAATAAAATGAGGCTACCTATTGAATTGCACTACACAAAAGGCCTATTCAGAGACTGCAGCTGACTATCTGTATCACGGCTGTATCCCTTGTTATTCCAAGGAGAACATGATGTTCTCATGACGTTTCAGTTGTTGAAGTAACTCTCATTTCATCTTAGCTCAATTAATTTCATGTGCTTACTGGAATTCAAATAGTAGACCCTTGCCCCATAGTTGTGTCCAAGAATGGAGTTTTGACAAACTTCCCTCCATTTCCCATACATTTGTGCATTCTTTCAACTTGAGGCGCACTATTCTGCTGCCTCTCTCCTGAAATTGCCAGACATGAGAATATACAACCTCAGCCTGTGTTGGCCCTCAGATTTGTAAGACCTTTTGACATGTTGAAAAATGCATGAACACCTTCTCCCTTTTCTAGCCCTGTGAAACATGAAATTTGGGGCTATTTTTAACCAGTTTTGTGGAGCTTTTGTCTTGTGTTGGTTTGGGTATGAGGAGAGCTTTCTAAGTGAAGGATGAGTGGGCAGGGTCTCTGAGCCATGTTGTTTCCCCCATGCACTCTATGCAAGGAATAAGTGGAGGCTGACCACCCCACCCCATCAAATTAGGGATACTTATAGGGGAGCTCCAGTCTTTCACTCACAGCAAACCATGGGAAAGAGGGGAGAGAGGAGTCAAGACTGACTGGAGTACACAAGTTTGTGTTACAGTACGAGATGGAAAGATGAATAATTTAGGTTTGAAAGGCGGATTGGAGAGCAGACGATTTAAAGGGAAAAGGATAAGATTAAATACTAGAATAAATGAGATGTTGGTTACAGCTCTT